TGACCCAACGATTCCTGCACTGTGGAAGGCAGAAAGTGATCACCAGTGCAAAAAAATGAGACCCTGATTAATGCTGTGATCACAACTTACAGCTAAAAGGTGAATACAGTTGCTGAATCTGAGTTTTTTGGGGGAAATCAATAAATATTATGGTAGTGAAGTGGTTGTGGAGTGTTGTATGTGATTTTTTTTTTTTGGAATATGCACAATGAGTTTGTGCTATGGATGGTTGCAAAAAACACACAAGGTACCCAACAATAGCCAACACTGATGGTTTTATTTTTTTTTAATCTGCAGAAGTAAGAAAGAAAGAAAGAAAGAAAGAAAGAAAGAAAGAAAGAAAGAAAGAAAGAAAGAAAGAAAGAAAGAAAGAACATTTTGTACATTTTGCAAAGATAATGTGGAAAAGTTCTTTCTGGCAGCTTCACATTAAGACATCATTTATCTCTTGACAGGTTGACACCATCTGTCTAAATTCACCAGAAGCATAATGAGACATCTCTATCTGACAGTGTTTCCCTGTGTAAACTCCAGAATATCCCCAGACCTTCTAACGAAGTGCTGACCTGACCTCTGACTTGACCTCTCTTTCACGGAGAAAGAAATGAGCAACGCTGTCGGAGAAGACGCACCTCTAAAAATTTTAGTGTCTTCTATTTAAATCTAATCGTTCCCCTTTGCCAAGCAGGAAAGGTCAGGCCACTAAAAGCTGCTGTGGCGAATCTCCCTCTGCTGGAAAACCTTCAGATTTTCCCATGAAAAAAAGGGGGAAGGAAATAAAAATAATTTGTCATAATTTTCCCCTGTTGGACAGATTTGGCTCTGCCAGTTGGCGAAAGTTCAAACGTGGCGTTCAGCGGACTGGGAGTGACGTTCTCACCAAGCGGGGACAACCCAGAGTGTTTGAGGTGGTCTCTCAGCCTGAATTCTGAATCCAGGAGTGAAATGGCCTGTCTGAGTGATGTATGATGTCGGGTGGACAGAGTGCTGGCATCCAGGACTTCAGAACGTCTCGCATGCCCCTTTGTTTCACACAGGCAGGGGATGCATGCTCAGGAATTCGTTTACTCTGTCACACATCCATACTGCACTTTCACAAATAATGTGGTGTCAGATGTGTCTTTAGGAGGAAAAATACTCAACAACAAAGCTGCAAATTATTCGGAAATCCTTCAGTATCAGATGTGAATCACTGCACACTGTAAGTCAGTAAAAGCTCTCACTTAGATGCGTGACCTCCGACATACTAACAAAGTGACATAAATGTTCAAGATCACTGGTTTCACATTTGATCATGCACTGTGTAGTTCATCTGTCTATAAATATATATCTTTTCCTGTAATCACTTCTCTCGAGACCAGACATGGAGTAAAGGGAAATGCTGCTCTCAATCAAAATGTGCTTGCTCATAAGGTCAAGCTTCCGTCACCTTCACCAAAATTGAAAGTAAACCCACATTACTTTCTACATCACCGACTGTCTTCCTCTTGCTCTCAGTGCAGCCTCCTCTGATACACCATCATTTCTATCTTGGACATACCCTCCCCCCACGCCCCTTCTCTCCGCCCAACCCCATACCCAAAACTCTCCCACACCCACTTGCCCCCACCCCTCGCCTTGCCACTGCCTCTCTGCATTGATGCTGATAATTACCGCTGAATGGATCTGCAGATTCCCATGGATGTCAGTGGAGCCTTTGGCCTGTTCTGTTGCTTCCCTCCTCCTTCTCCTCCTCATCCTCTCCTGCTTCCCGAGTCTCCCCTTCTCCTTCTCAATGAGGATTAGGATAGGGCGAGAGAGGCGAGGGATGAAGAGGGTGAGACCTCAGACTGAGGTATGGTTTGCCATGCAACTGCCTCATCTATGTCATCTTGCCAATCAAGGCTGTCACCATGAATAAACCAGCAACTCTGCAGTGGGTTTTATGATTTTTAGGAAGTACGTAACTTTCTTGTCACCATCAATTTGCAGTTGATGTACTGATAAAGTTCTTACTTGGGAAAATACAGTCATAATAAAGTCAAGGTAAATCCCATGACACATTAGAAAGTGAAAACCTGTTGGAAAATAGGTTGCCTCCATAAAGAACAATTGTGGAAAATACAGAGAGAAGGCAAAGTAGCGGATTCCCACCAATTCTTCTGTGCAAGCAAAGCTGAGTGGATCGACGTCATGGTCACTGGGAGCCCACGCATCCTCAGCATGCCAGAGGTAACCGATACCCAGTCATCGTTCATCCAAGCTCAAAAACCCACTGAAGCTATGCTTTCTTCCAAGGAAGTCCAAGGAGGGGCCTACCCAGTACACCACAGTTAATCACATCACACCACAGGGAACAGCAAGAAAGAGAAAGCATGAAAACTGAAGAGAGGGGCACTTTAAAGTGGGCAGGAGACTTGGCATGATGGACAAGATAAAGACCGAAAGCTGAATGAGAAGAGCATAAGGAGAAAGTTATCTTGTGTTGACCGTTTAAACCATTATGTACCAGCACAAGCAGAAGCGTGCGTCACACATGACTTTAATGCAATATGTAACGTTCAACAAGAAGCATGGCCCTCCTCCAAGACCAAGTGGTAATTGTGTCATTTTTTCTTTGGATACAGCTCCAATTTGAGGAAATGGTTTGGAGCATGCTCAAAGGCATGCATGCTGCAGGAGTGTTTGGAACCAACAAGGTTTGGCTCTGAGCTGGATGTCAACCTCACTTCAAATTATCCTCATTAATGACAATTCCAAGGGGAAATGGTCATTTGTATGTGTGTGATACTCACTGCACAAGGCTTGTAATAGACCTGGATGCCCACCAGTGTGAAAAGTGGCATTTATTAGTCAGGGTCACAGGTTGTACTGAGCTGAGTTAGGCAGCCAGAGACTGATCTTCTGGCTCTGTTACTGTGGGAGAACTCAGGATGTTATAGTCCAATGAAATGTGGACCACCCCAATTACTGCCCAATTTTTAAACTGCAACAGAAAAGAGTGAAAAAGAAGTAAATCTGCAAAAACATATCACGTGTAGTTTGCCTTCTATTTCAGACTTCAAAACTTTCAAAATATACGAGTACATATGTTAATATACTGGGGGAAAAAAGCTATATCTATAAGTGTGAAAATAAGCCTGACTCAATGCAGATTAAACAGGCATGAATCCTCTGCACTGCATCAACATCTTCTTTAATTCAAGAAATTTAGTCATGACTTACGGGCTGCACATAAGCACACATCCCCCCTAAAAGGCTCCATATCCATCCCACAAACATACAGATGCTCTCTCCTTGAATTTTATCAAAACTTCTACCAAAACATGGCTGAGCTTCAAGTAATAGCCCATCAGCTGACACAGAGTCCATACTTGACATCAAAGGTTTGTGACTTGACTTCTTGCTGGAATGCTTTTCCTACTGCAGAGACTTACATTAATACTCCATGCAGACAAGAGGTGGAATGAAAAGGGAACCCATCATTATATCCAAGACAGTGTTCCACATCCCTCCTCTTCTTCCTGTCTCCCTGTATCACTTCCCAAGACTGTTTACCACAAATACAAGAGAAATGCTGCCTGAGCTCATTATGGACAGCCAAGCTGCAATATACTGCCAAGTCCAGCCCAACAGCATGGGCCTAGCTCTGTCGTCTTGGCAACCCAGCATCCAGGAACAAGGGGGGGAGGGGCTCGTCGTGTGATGGTGCTGGTGGTAACGTGTTGCATGGGGGGGGTTGCATGATGTCATCTTGTGGCATGGAGGGGGCCAATCAAACCCTGAGAAAATTATGTCACCTTTTGTTGAGCCGGTCCATTCAGGGCTATAGAAGTGCAGTGAATTGAGAGCTGCAGAGAGGTCATTTTCCCCCCCTGAGTTGTGTGTATGTGTGTATGTGTGTGAGAAAAAGGAGGGGAGAAAAAACGGGGGGGGGGGGCAGACAAGCAGAGAAGTGCATTGTGGACATGCTAATGTTGTTGACCATAAGCAGGGCCATAAAGATGTCATGAAGCTCAACTTCCAAAAACATCAGCGCCAGGGTCTTTACTCCCCCTCTTCTTTTTTTCAGATGGCAATGACCTCGTCCCCCTCAAATCTGATTCTTAATATAATCCCTATGATGCTTTCAACAACTTGTCAGAACATTGTCAAGCACCAGAAGAAAAGCCTGAACAAACTGCAATGGAACCTAGCCCGGTCGGCTTTGTTTTATCGCAGAGAGAAAGACAACAATAAGCAACCCCTTAAGGAATAATTACACCCTTAGCAACTCCCCTATTCTGCACTCTTGCACCCCACGTCCCATCCCCAGACAAGGCCCACAGCTCCCACCCATCCTGAGTCAAACTTCATTCAATCACAGATGAAACTGACGGTGAGAGACAGTTGAATGAGAAGTCACTGCTGAATTGTTGAAGAAGAGTTGAGAAGCATATATGCATTTCTAGTGTACAGAATGTCTTTCTGCAGAAGAGCAGTGGGGATTTTTATCCACAAAAAAGTTGAAAACTCCCTGCAGTGTGACCCCTGTTGACCTGGACTGTGACATTAAACACTTCTCTGTCATTATCATACACACATAGTTCACAGAAACTACACTCAGCAGGGTAATGCAATTTTCCATGATGTCATGTGCTAAATTTACAAAAGTGCTTGTGATTATAGCAAATTAAGTTTTTGCACAAAACATTTTTTAATCGCTTGAAAATTGTCCTATTATTCACGTTGGTATTAGTCAAGTAAAACCTTGTGGTTTCCTGTAACATTTCAACTTATCAACATTTAAATGTCACAGTTTTCCATTTTCACTTCACTTTTATTCACCGACAGAAAAAGAAAGGAGTGATACAACTCCAGCTACTCCCCTAATACCAGACTGGCACATAGTAACTAACTTGTCATGAAACCAGAATGACTAACAGTAAAAGTCGACGCAGATAAAAACATCATGAAACCATCTTATCAGTTAATAATCTAACAGATCTGCACCTGCAATGACAAAAAAAACAGACAGCAGCTTGGATACACTTCTTTATTTCCACGAACAGGGTTTCACAGACACAACACCAGCATTGAAGCAATCAATCATAATGAGAGTTGACAGCTTGACAGGATTATGAACCAAAATTTAGACACGCTGCCAATGTGTCAAAATGAAATGTGATGTCATTAAGAGAGTTTTTGTTTTACATTCATCAACACCTTGATGACAATGGCTCTTTGAAAAGCTTCAGTGCCATTGACGGAGGAATCTTGATCACACATGTAGCCGACGTGTATCCTCACTTGCTCAACTTTAAATCTTCAGCAGTGGTGTTACATTCAAAAAAGTAAAAAAAAATGAAATTCCAAAAACTGGTCATACTGTATTTAAAATAACACAGTAAATGTCACAGCTTCAGTGTATGAGCAACAGTGTGAATAAACACTGAAAAGCAAGAGCAGATGTTTGAACGGGAAAATCTTAATGCGGGTTCAACAATATGTATATCGTCGTGGTAGCTACAGTAAATGCACATTCATCAAGTTGACTCCTCTGTTGAGCACCTCTCCAGCAGAAGTTGACTGATCTGTTCCATGATGTCTGAGCAGCGGAATACTCTCTGCTGTCCCGCTGAGTTTATGTCACGGCTCCTCCAAGTTCATGCTGCTGGCTGGATCCTGAGAGCTAGCCTGTCAGTGATGGAGCTCATGCTGTCAGCAGCCATGCCAGGAGCAAACATCTGCTGCGGGGGATGCTGGTCCACCGTCCAAACTGGGATTTGGTGTGATCCTGGAAACATAATACACAAACTAATGACTGACTGGGGCCAAAAAACGCTTACTTGAACATTAACACGTTTCTCATACCTATAATAAAGAAAAATAATCTTTTTCTGGGAACAGCTTTCTTTGAAATGTTGAGTGAATGTTTAATAAAGATATTTAAAATAATCACAGATTTATAAAACACCAAAGCTCATCAACACAAACTTGTGTGCTTGTGATTTATTTCGCAGGACAGATTTGGCTGCTTTTACAAACATTCCACACAAAAAGGGCTTGAGGATTCAAAATGGCATTAAGAAGTTGCAGATGAACTACACGGAGCCTCATCCACGGCTGAAATGATCAAATTATAAGTGGTGGCAAAAACCAGACTGTGTTTTGCTTCCAGCTTTGTGAATACAAAGTTCCAGACTGGCAGCTATTTTTCAGTTCAGTACCAGACATGCGATGTCGTTCTTTAATCGCTCCAGAGCAACAAAGGTCTGATTAGTCTGATAAGTCTCGTTCCAAAATGAAAAATACAAAATATCAATTTTATCTGTAATATAGCATAAAAACAGCAGTAGAGGTAGAGGAGAAAATGAACGAATTCTCAGAAAAACAACTGGATGAATAAGTTGTTGTCTTCTGAGATTGGTGTTAATCAGTCTACAACATCTGCTTTTCACTGTCAGAATATTCCAAGGTGAGGTAATGCAGGTAGGTGGCCTCTTGACAACCTGGACTTTGCTTTACCTGCGCTTGCTCATGCAACCACCCACAAAATGACATTACATTGTCCACACCCACACAACATCCACTCAACCCTGCAGTTGTCATGGCAGTGAAGTGGCGGGACCGGCCTGTCCTGCCTGTTCTTTCCCCGGGGGAGGAACGTGTCAGAGGATAAGTAGTCATCCATCAATGTTTCTCATCTTCTTTCTGCCTGTCTGCACCTCTGAGTCGGTTTACCTGTGAGGAGTCACGTTCCACCAGCGTACAGGATGTGGCCTCACTCTCTCACTGTTTCGTCGTATCCCTCTTCCTGCACTTCCCTCTTGTCTTCTCTGGGCTTCACACTTCTTCATCTCTTAAAACCACTGTCTTGTTTCTTTTGTTAACACTCTATACTATCATTCTGCCTCATTTTTGGTCGTATGTTTTCTGTATCTTTACTTTTGACCTCCATTCTGGTTTTTCCCTTCCCACGTTTCTCTCCAATGCCTCACCCTGGAACAGAGCCAGCATTGCAGCATCAGCATACAGAACCAGGTCCCAACCTGCCTGAGAGTCTCAGCCTGCCTGTGTATGTCTTTCTTTGCCTGGGGCTGCAACTGAGGCCGGCCTCTATCACACTCCCTCATCACCACATCTACTGTACCTGTCTGCTGGCACCCTGCCATCCACACACACAGCTCCCCGTCATATAGCAAAAAAAAAAAAAAAAAACAGGTAGAAGGGAAGAAAACAAGATTTAACGCAAGCCTAAAATCTATAGAAAATGACTACTCATGTTGGGGTCAAGCGTGTTTGACCTCCACTGGGAACACCCACGACTACCCTGAGAGATACACTTATACAGTACCGCTCATTCAGGCTGCTGGCGGCCCCGCACAATCCCGTCAACAGGTTTCTTTGAAGGCCCCTGACTCTGTGGTGGGCCATCAAAGCATATCTTCATTCAGTGCCAATGAAAGGATCTGAGGCTCCCGAGAGAAGCTGTGTTTGAAGTGATATCTCTGTGCCACTGCATTCTTTACTGTACTGTCATGACTTGGGTTACATAATTTAAAAAAAAAGGCAAGAACATGGGCAAAAATCCAGTGCCACCACCCTGATCATGTCTCTTATATATGTGAACTACCACTGCTTCCTCTGTTTGATCAGTGAATGTAGCACACTCCACTTGTTTATAGCAACTGTCATAAGGCTGCACTGCGTCTGATCACATATTCCACTGAATGAAGATCAAACAAAAACCAAAGTCATCCCTACCTGTTGAATCTCTTGAGATCATGTTTCCATTAGTCAGGCTCTTCTTGGTGCTCACCTGGGATAATCTGAAAAAGACAAAGGATGGGGAAATAAAATGATTTAGAGGGAGGCTCACTGTGGACAAAAAAGAAGAACCAGAAGCATTAAATTTTATCTGGTCCAGCTTGGCCCACACTTGCATGAACAGACTTTCTGCATTGTACATGAAGAGAGCCAATGTTTCTGTTTCCAGAGATATGACAATGTTACCATGTAGCTTTTTCCAATTATAAAATCACTTTCCTCCCCTCTAATTTGTGATGTTTTTCTACTTTCACCTCATTGTTCCTCTAAACCTCACTGACCGAAATGTATTACTTAACTTGTAATCATGAGCCTTGCATACAAAACAAACATGGCCAAATGATAAAAAAAATGCATCACTCCATCATAAAAATCTAGAGTGCTGTTCAGACACTGAATTGCTCTCTTTTTCTGTTAAAGTGATTCATTCAGAGACAATAAATGAATTTTACATTAATGTTCCCTATATTTACATGATATTGTGGGACAGATGCATTTTCTTATGCAATATTGCTACTTTTCTCTCATAAACTGCAGCCCTGATGGATTTTAAAATTCATTTTACATTGAAGCATTAATAAATGATCATTGTATGCATGAGGGATGCCCACAACGCTTCTCATACTGAATACATTTTTGCACTAATTTAATAATTGAACTTTGTTGGGTAGCTGCCTCATATCTCACTTTAAGGTAATTAAGTTGCAACTGTGATTTATTGGTTCTCATGCTGCATGCAAAGCATTCTGATGGATATTCATTTTGCTGTTCACTTACACAGTTGACATGAAAAAAACTCCAAATGTATGCATAGAAATTAGGTCTGATTATAACTCTGATTGTAAAATTGCTTTAACCTTGTTTGCTCTGATTGTACTGCAAGTGAAAAGTAATGGTTTTGATTGATATAACAAATTTATTACAGTCGAAGACAGAAATAGACACAAAGTTGTCTTTCTTTGCATTTTTATTTATTTTTTGTGCATGTGTATTGAAGCAATTCAGACTTGTGCCACATCATGTCTTTGCAAATAATCACATAGAACTCATCTTTCAACTATAATCTTAGTTCACAATAAACACTTCTGTTATTTGTATCCAGTCTAAGGTCATTGTGTGACAAGTGTTTTCAGCTCCAGGCAAATCAAATTAAGGAACTTGATGTTTCAGGCTGACTTTAGGGCTTTGGTAAATGATTTGCTAATTGTATTTTATAATGTAATTGTCTTCATACATATATATATCTGTGTGTGTGTGTGTGTGTGTGTGTGTGTGTGTGTGTGTGTGTGTGTGTATATATATGTATGTATAAAGTTTACATACACTGAATAAAAAGACATAAAACATTTCTTTTCTCACTGTATAACATTAAATAAGACTAAACGTTTACTGTTTAAGGTCAGTTAGGATTACCAAAATTATTTCTATTTGCTAAATGCCAGAATAATGAGAGAGAGAATTTTTTAGAGACTTTTCCACTACTTTCTTCAGAGTCAGAACTTTACGTATACTAATATTACCATGCCTTCAAACTATTTGGGAAAGCCAAGATGATGATAGCGTGGCTTCGGAAGCTTTTGATAGGTTTAATAACAACATTTCAGTTAATTGGAGTAATACCGGTGGATGTATTTTAAGGCACACCTCAAACACACTGCTTCCTTTTGTGACAACAAGGGAAAATCTAAAGAAATCAGCCAGGATATCAGGAAGAGAGTTGTGGACTTCCACAAGTCTGGTTCATCCTTAGGTACAATTTCCACATGACTGAAGGTTCCACGTTCATGTGGTCAAACAATTATACACAAGTATAAACACCATGGGAATGTTCAGGCATCACACCGCTCAGGAAGGAGAAGATTCTGTGTCCCAGAGATGAAGTGTTTTGGTGCGAAATGTGTGTATCAACCCCAGAACAAAAGCAAAAGACCTTGTGAGGATGCTGCTGAAGCTGGTAAGAGAGTGTCATTATCCACAGTGAAACCAGTCCTATACTGACATGGACTGAAAGGCTACTCAGAGAGGAAGAAGACATCACTCCAAAAGCAACATAAAAAAGCCAGAATACAGTTTGCAAATGCACACAGGGACAAAGACCTTCATTTCTGTGGTCTGATGAAAGTAAAATTAAACTGTCTGGCCATAATAACCATCGTTGCATTTGGAGGAAAAAGGGGGAAGTTCACAAGCCTGAGAACACCATCCCAACTGTGAAGTATGGGGGTGGCAGCATCATGTTGTGGGGGTATTTTGCTGCAGGAGGGACTAGTGCACTTCACAAAATAGATGGCATCATGAGGAAAGAAGATTATGTGGAAATATTGAGGAAACATCTCAAGACATCAGCCAGGAAGTTAAAGCTTGGGCGCAAATGGGTCTTCCAAATGAACAATGACCCGAAGCATACCGCTAGATTAGTTACAAAGAGGCTTCAGGACAACAAAGTCCATGTTTTGGAGTGGCCATCACGAAGCCCTGATCTCAATCTTGTATAAAATTTGTGGGCAGAGCTGAAAAGGCGTGTGGAGCAAGGTGGCTTATGAACCTGACTCAGTTACACCAGTTCTGTCAGGAGGAATGGGCCAGAAGTCATCAGACTATTGTGAGAAGCTTGAGGAAGGAAACCCAGAACGTTTGACTCAAGTCTTACAGCTTAAAGACGATGCTACCAAATACTAAGGAAATGTATGTAAACTTATGACTTTGAATAAAATAAGCAAAAAATCTCTAAAAGAAATTCTGTCTCTCATTATTCTGACATTTAGCAAATAGAAATAATTTTGGTAATCCTAGCTGAACTAAAACAGAAAAAGTTTAGTCACATTTAATGTCAGTGAGAAAAAAGGTGTTTGGTTTATACAGTGTATGTAAACTTCTGACTTCAACTGTGTGTGTATATATATATATATATATATATACACACACACAGTGTGTATATATATATATATATACATATAAAAGCTTCCTAGTTTTGCTTGCTGATTGTTTTTGAATGTTAATACTTGTCACTTAAAATATAATATGGTTTTGTTTGTGTGCCTGATTTCATCTTGTCTTGGCTCAACTGCCCTGACAGCCTTTTTGTCACATTATTTTCAAAAATATTGAGCAACCACAGGTGGTTTTTGTAATAACTGCACAACTGAGACCTTCTAAAGTATCTTCACAGAACATTAAAAAAGTCAAACCTGTACTGGCAACTTAGTTAACCAACTCTGTTTTATGTAAATCTAGGGTTTCAAAGGAACTCTGCAAAACCTGGCAGTTTAGGAGAATGGAGGTAATCGAAGTGGCTTTTCCATTGTACCATTTAAAATTTATTTGGTGTGCTGGTTTTATTGTGTGAGGTCAGTGGGTTTAGGAAGATATTGGACCAGGACACTTTCATGTTTCTAGATGCAGACATGTTTAGGACTGAAGCTGCGCTCTCTGGACCAATGACAGCTCGGGTCCCTCTTCATCCGTTCACAGACAAAGGTGCTCTCTGCTTCTGAGTTTCACTGTCCCAGACCTGTTACCTTGGCAACAAATGCACTGTTTCCGAGTGACACAAAGCCTGAACTAAAAAACCTCCTTTCAGGATGAAGGCTCCAAGAGTTGGGGGGAAAACAGCAATAACAGGACGGTGGGGAGAGAAACTGAATACCAGCAAATTGGTTCCCAGAGTTTCTGGAGGACATGGTAAAATGATTCTTTCTTTCCTCTCCCTTTTAAAATACCTTTCTCTGGCACCAGGCACCATAGGTAGTTGTGCACTGGTCCAATTTCTTTTATATCCTTTCTTATATTTCGGGGTTTTTTTTCGAGCTATCATACTGCGCTAAGTGAGTTATCATGTACACCAGCAGGCTGGAGTTGCATGTGGCTAGGCTAAGCCTTGAGATGAGGTAATGTTTAGAGAGTTGGTGAGCCAAGAGAAGGGTTGGTCAGGTCTTGATTAACTCAGGGGTAGGGGCTCTCTCTAATATTGGACACCCCTTTGTGTGGTGAGATTACTACCTTATGAAAAACTGCCCCTGCTGACATGCCTGATGGGATCAGAGCTTCCTGCTGCATCGTCCTGCTTATGAGCCCTCCATACAGGAGAGAAAACACACAAACACCAAGCACACACTCTTGAACCTCTCAGAGCAGATAAGCATGATCATAGCTCGTTCACAACATCAGTACATGCTAACATGTAAACAAGCATGCACACGGCAAGACCCACAAGCGCACACAGGTGCGAACATCCCCTTTTTTTAGGCCTCCTCTCTTCCACTTGTGTGTGTCACAACCACAATTGATGACCCCCAGATGGAAAACAAGGTGCATTTATTAACCAGGCCAGTTGAGATACAAACACACACTCATGCATGCTCACTTGCTTTGACTGTTGTCTTCTCCTCCAGTCACTCTCCAATGAAAATCACATGATGGACCACAAAAAAACAAAAACAGAACCAAAAATCGCCACCGCAACAAATATCAACAAACAACGTTAAATAATTTAAAAATTACATTTTTTTTTTTTTAAAAAGCAATGGTAAAAAACAGGGAGGATTTGGAGGCAAAGCTTAAGGGGATTTAATCCTAGCAGTCCTCTTAAGACTGCTGACGCTACAGGATGATTTCAATTATTTGATATTATTTCTGATGGTCCATTAGTTCAAAATACAGCTCTGATTGAAAGAGATGTGTAAACAGAAAGTTGCAAACAAAACTTGCATTAGTCCAAACCAGAGCTGTACTTTGTTCCAGATGTGTAATTGACTGTTAATTAGAAGTGGCCTTACTCCATGTAAACTTTATGAAATAAATCTTATATAAAAACCAAGAACAACGGAATAAATGTGGCAGCCCGGTTTGTTCATCCGCACTGTAAACTTCAACACCTCTTTACTTCTACCGTGTAGAAGCCTACACTAACAAATGATCATATTTCTGCAGTGCACAATGTGTAAACAAGTAAATACTTTTAAGTGTAAATATACAAGCATGCAAGCACACATGTATATATCCA